AAAAAAAGAAATCTAATCAGTAATTTAATAAAAGACAAATGCAAAATACATGTCAAAATGATGTTTTATGTTCCATTTTTATATGAATAAGCTCTTCCCGATTGCTCCATGCCAATGATACCACATTAGTTCCCATAAGAAAGATGTTTGCCATCTAATACAAATACCTAATACTTTGTGCTCAATTGTGCACGTCATGTTCGAACTCATATACAACAAGTAAAAAAGCAGTAAGTTCGGCCGGGCCGAACTTTGAACCCTCTCCACCATTTGGAACGAATTAGAAAATTTTCAAAAAATAAAATCCATTAAAAATTCTAAAATATTTAAAATATCTAACATCGGAAGGTGCCGATATATGGGGGGATATACGATATTGTGGACCTATATAGACAATTACCTTTCAGGGGTTAAAGTGCTCACAAAGAACTCCTTGTGTGGATTTTCAGACAATACCATAGGAAAATATGGCTAAAATCATCAAAATACCGAATATCGGGGGTACCGTTATATGGGGGCTATACGATATCATGGAGCTATATAGATAATTCTCTTCCAAGGGATAAAGTACGCACAAGGAACTCCTTGTGTGGATTATCAGAAAATTCCGTTGAAAAATGTGGCTAAAATCAGCAAAATACCGAATATCGGGGGCTATACGATATCGTGGACGTATATAAAAAATTATCTTCCACGGGATAAAGTACCCACAAGGAATTCCTTGTGTGGATTATCAGACAATTCCGTGGAAAAATGTGGCTAAAATCATAAAATACCGAATATCGGAGGGTACCGTTATATGGGGGCTATACGATATTGTTGACCTATATAGATAATTCTCTTCCGAGGTATAAAGTACCCACTCGGGACTCCTTGTGTGGATTTTCAGACAATTCCACTGAAAATGTGTCTAATATCATCAAAATACCAAATATCGGGGAGTACCGTTATGGGAGCTATACGATATCGTGGCCCATCTTCGAACTTGTCCTGCCTGCCGACAAAAGAGGGATCTGTGCAAAATTGTATCTTCCTATCTTAATTCGTTTAGACTGTAGCGTGATTACAACAGACGGACGGACGGATGGACAGGGCTAAATCGTCTTAGAATTTTACGCTGATCAAGAATATATATACTTTGTTGGGTCTAAAAAGATTATTTCGATGAGTTACAAACGGAATGACGAACTTAATATACCCTCCATACTATGTATGGTGTAGGGTATAAAAATGTAAAGTTCTCGATTGCAAGCCAAAATAGTATCGTGTTGTTACTGTTTATCATTTTCCACAGTTTTAGAATGAATTCAAAAACTCAAAGCCTTTCTAATCAGTAGCGTGATTTTACAGTTACCTAAAATGTGCGAACTTCCCTTAAATTTTGCCGCCAAATACACAGTTTTTAGATCCATTTCACAGCAGCATTAAAAATATTCAAATGTATTGCTTGGCCTTGTTCTGGTGTGACTCCGTTTCTGGTACAAACAACTAGACAATGACAATTGTCAAATTAGTGTCTTTATTACATTTTTCAATGGAACATTAATGAAGAAAACATATTCATTTATTCCCACAGCCAAAAGTAGTATTTTTCAATTCAAGCGAACATTTTTTTCTCACCACATAAATAGTATTTTTTGTTTGTCTTTGCTTTTAGTAATTAGGCCTAGGAAATATTATACGCATTATTTATAACTAATGTAGTTTTGTTCTGGTGTTGGAGTAATGGATTGTGACTGTCACGCTATTTTGTTCCAATTTCAAAATTGTTTTTTTTTTTTCCTCGAGATATTCAAAAAATATTAATGATTGAAAAACAAATAAGATATGGCTATTGTCAGGCAGGAGCGATCATCAAACATGTTTTGTAACTGCCCTACTTTTCCAATAGGAATAAATTTTCATTTAGTTTTTGCAACTTTTTGTAAGCGAGTAGGTATTGAATAAATGAATGACGTCCAGTATAAATTTAATCAAAATTTTAAGTAGAAAACACACTTCTTGACTATAATTATTTGCCTAAAATTATTCTCGACAAACTGTAAAAATGGTTCTTTTGAAAATGTCATGTAACCATACATTGAAATTAGTCAGACTATAAAGTTAATCTATTTTTCATGCTATTTACCACGGCGGTATAATAGTAACATCTATCTGAAATCTCTAAGCTCACATTCTAGCACATTCATATTTTTATTATAGAAGTATTACATTGTCCAGTAAACTCTATTTAATTATGTAACCACTAAAAACGACATTATGACCGGTCAAATTTTTTCATAGCCCACACCATGTGAAAACTTGGCTATTGGACAAATCGGTTATCCTCAGAGCTCTAAATCTTAGAAGTTCTTTTATATGGAGTCCATACTTCTCTTCCATTATAATGAAGGCCTTAAAAAGGTTACAGGACCTGGAAAATCGTTGAAATATAAATGTAAATATAATATGTACATCGAAGCATCTCGATATCAAGACAGCCCCACACGGAGTTGTATAGAAAACTCCAAATTTACTTTGGTAGCTTTCCTCGATGTAGGTGGGGAAGTGTTTTTATCAATGTAAAGCTGGGATCGATCCATAATGTTCTCAATGTCTCTGGTATTTCCTCTATCCTGATTGAATGCATTGATAGAATACTAAAAAGCAGAATAATCAATTCGAGCTTGGCAGAGAGTTCCAATAGGAAAACAATCAGCAGAGGGACGCCACAGGGAAGAATTCTCTCACCCTTGCTTTGGCTTCTGGCTATTAACGAAATACTTGCGAGTTTCAACCAGCATCGAATAAAGGCAGTCGCATATGCTGATGACGTAGTGGTGGTGTAAATGTTAGATCTGTTCCAACTATTTGTGGCCTAATGCAAAGTTCAGTAATGCAGTTGTCTGGTTGGGTCATGGGCAATGGTCTGGGGTAAACCATACAAAGACAGAACTTATGCTAGTCACAAGGATTTTCAGTGCTAGTACTGGAGGGAGTTACGCTGAATGTCACTTCGTGCGGCAAATACCTCAATACGAACTTGGACGAGCTTTTAAACTGGAGCAAGAACATTGAGGAGAGCCTCATGCACTCTATTTATGCAAAAACATCACAGGGAGGAGCTGGGGCTCAGACCACAAATCGTACACTAGATGTATGTAACAGTGGTCTTACTTGTTCAGACATATAGGAGCCTCGTCTGGTGGTATGCGACTAAATCCGGGGCACTCATGTCCAAATTAACCACAGTGCAGAGAGCCACGCACTCAAGAGCACTCTACAATCTGCTTCGGGTTGGTGCTAAACTTTCAGCCACTCGATATTTTAGATCACTTATAAGCACCAAGGAGTGCGCTGATACGAGAGTAAACGGGGGATGGCGCTCTTCACGTTTTGGTCATGCACGAATCCTGGACATACCACTTAGACGGAAAATCTTAGGTGAAAGTAATGGGATTAGTGATTCGACTCCAGTTACATTAATGTTATTGTTACCTAATTGAGATACCTGAGTTGGTGGAGAACCTCCTCTGGACGGTCTGGCCATTTATACAAAGCTGAATGACAATTGCAGCATTTTTCAGCCTGAAACTCTTGCAATCAAGCCAAAATGGTAAGATATCTTTGCAAGAGCATGTATGTCGATAGTCAGACGCCCTTAGGCCTATCTAGTCTAGTGCTCTTAAATTGAGTGTCACCCTTAACTGCAGAAAGCTCTCATTGAAATACCTGATTGCGTTAAACTTTGTTGGGTTCTAGGACATAACAATAGCAATATAGCTTGAGGCGCATCTCAGTCGATTGATATACCGATATACTTTCTTCGAAGAACCTGCCAGAAGTTGGCACTTGAAAACCTGCCTGACCTCAACAGCAGTGTTCCCGACTACTTTATGCTACGTAAAGATTAATACATTTACCAGTTTGCCGAAGGCATTCCCTGGCTAGACAGGCCACCATCCTAACTACACCTCTCTCTATAAATATTTTCTTCACCTTCCTGCTTCTTTTTTATCTCTCCTATCGTCGAAATTTTTATTTCTTCCTAGGATGAACACAATGGGCCAAAGGTTTCCTAGTAAAGCAGTTGCCGGATTCGTGTAGTTGCCAAACCAACCATACCTATGTTAAATAAAAACAAACCCAAAATACCAAATAATAACTGAACGAAAATCAGAAATACCGTTATATAGGGCTACACCAAAAAGTGAGCGTTCATTATTTTTTTTTTTCGAAACGTCAAACTACTCTCTGAAAACTCTGAAATTTTGAACAAAATACAGAAAGTCCGGATTCACGGTTATATGGGGGCTATACCTAAACGTAGACCATTATATTCCATTTTCAATACCAAACTTGCAAAGAATAATTTTGTAAAATTTCAAAGGTATAGTTAATAGTGCGAGCTTTAACGTGATTTTTACTATTTTAGATACAATAATGTTTAGAAAAAGTTGAAATAAATTTAATGGTACACTCATCCTTGCTTGTATCCGGAAGATTGTTGGCTATCCCTAAAAGCCTACGAATAACATACAATTAAATCTAACGACGTCCTAAAATGCATACTTGCCTGGGAACTAAATTCCGTTTTTTTGTTTGTGTCAGATACTAGGCCACATATAATACAGACAACGAAACATTTGCGGTACAAAATTACAATTACAACATAGTTGCGTAAATACGCATGCACTATATTACATAGAAATCTTCTCTCTCTCTCTCTCTCTCTCTCTCTCTCTCTCTCTCTCTTTCTCTATTTTAATCCTTTTCTGCTAATCAAATTATCGCATGTGGATTCATTTGGAAACAATAAAACAATAGTAAACAATATTATTTATTAGTTTATTATTGACTCTGTATTATTATTTGAAAAAAAGACATTGCTTCAAAACCCGCATAGTTTTTTTATTTATTTGTCTGTTTCTTTTTTATGTTAACTTCACTAGGATATTTTTTTGCACATTTGTACTTAGAAATTATACAAAGGAGAAATGCATTTGTTGGGTGTGTATGTGTGTGTGTTTGTGTGCGCCAAGAACATTACCAACATATGGTAATGCCGGCAGCTTCCTGAGCCTTCAATTCAGCCACAATAAATTCACGGAATTGCTCATAGGCTTCATCGATATCAACATTATGTATAATCTTATGGAAATTACCGGGCGTCAGACCATAAACAATCTCGGTGGCAGCAGCATCCAAACGCTTCTTCAGTGTTTCTTCGGTTTCGGTGTTACGTTTACGCAAGCGCTCCTCCAATGCCTCTATGGATGGTGGATTATTGTAGATTAGAATGGGATTAAGGTCGGTCTTTTTCACTTGTTCCACGCCCTGGGGTTCAATGTCTAGGATACAAACTTTACCGGTATTTTGTACCTTGCGGACGGCTTCTTTGCTAGTGCCATACATATTGCCACTGAATGTGGCCGATTCAATGAATTCGCCATTGGCAATGGCCTTCTCCATAGCTTCACGTTCGACAAAATTATAATGGACACCATCCTCCTCGCCCGGTCGGGGTTTGCGAGTTGTATGCGAAACACTGAAGCCGAATGTGTTGGGAAACTCTTTGAATAGCCTATTCAAGAGAGTACTCTTGCCCGAACCCGAAGGTCCGCAAATAACAACTGGTCTGGGTCCCTGTTTGGCCATAGTGCTCAAAAGCCTATTGGCAATGAAAAGAATGCTTATCATGATTAAATATGTTCCGCAAAGGGATTACAAGTACTAAGTAGATTGGGAGATTTCTTGATTTGAATGGTTGCCTTAAATGCTAAGTTGCTTAGTTGTTGTTGCTGTTTTTGTCACTGTTGACGGTTAGTCGTTTCTGGGTGTAATGAATAAATGCTGTAGACGTTCTAATTAGAGGTGCGTGCAATGGTGAACTGGAAAGAAGACAATAAAAAGAACAAGAAGGCAAATATTTCCCAAATGTAGTGCAGACATTCGACAATTTCAAGTTTGAAACAACCAAAACAATGTCGAAAATAAAAAGCGAACAAAACCAAAAGCCAAAGCAAATGTGAAAATGATAGACATAAAAATAGATGAAAGGTGAGGATGATAATAATCTTCTTGGGAAATGCAACAACATTTTCACATATCTTGTTATATGAAATAATCAAATATAATTAGACATTTTTGCGATATATAATTGTGATACTGTTATTTTTTAAATCACTAAATATTTAGACAAACTTCAGGTGTCCCAAAATCTCATCCATATACTAATTTTGATTCTATTTGGTAGATCACTTTATTATAGAAATTATATAGATATAGAAAAGATATCCTATATATCTTCTTTGGGTTACATTACTTTTAATATCTTTCAATACACAGGCCATATTAAGGTCGGAACATCATCAAAATTATTGGTCTGTTCCCGAACTGCATAAATGTAAAAGTTTTTACTGCGATAATCGATTTTCCCATTATAATACCGGAAAAATTGCAAAAATGGTAGATTCTTGCAAGTACTGGAATAGAGCATATGTTTGTGACAGCAAACTTGGTAGCCATGTCATATATAAGGTCGATCTGATAACTAAGTTTACTGTCAAAGGACATAATTGTGATTTGAAATTCAAAGAGAGACAAATCAAAATAGTGCAAAAACTACTAAATTTATTGTTAAATTGTTGTCAAAAATTGTCTTTTGGCCGATCTTATATGGTCCTAACTCATTTTTTGAGTTGCCGACAAAACCGGTAATCTTTCGGCGGAAATGGTAAGAGAACTTAGCAATGGCTTAAAATGGTCAGTAACTAATATTTCGATAGTTAGATGTCCCTTAAATCAATCAAATAAAGTCCAATCAAATCGAGAGCCATTCTTGAGTAATATAATAAGGAATGAAATGTCTGATGTATTAGATGGAGTCGGCTTAACTACCTGTTAATGTGACTGTCAAACCGTTAATACTATATCAACTGTTTCAACTGTTTGACTGACCATCTGGCCGGATTAAATATAATAAATGTCTATCGCAATTATAATATCTGGCCAGGTTTTTCATTCTGGCCACATATTAGAATCGCGGTAGGCATAAAGACGGTAGTACGGTAGTATTACATATGTGACCTCAAAATGGGATAACAGTGATCTGAGCTACTTTAGACTACTTGAGGATGAAAAAGAAATAGATAATTGAACATCTACCAAGCAGTTGTGCCAAGTTAGCGAGCAAGTAGGCGGGAGATATAAACTGAAACATTTTCATCTTTAGGTTTGTAAAGCATCTCCTGGCTTGTCAACCATCCCGCTATATCACCTCTACAAATCTTTATTTTTTATTTCCATATCTACCCTCTATTCTATATCTAATGTTACTTCCTAGAATGAACACAATAGATCAATGGTGCCTGCAGGAAGCAGCTGTCGACACTTGTGTAGCTAAGTATCGTTAAAACAAAACAAACAATCCATCTTTATGTAAGCCAAGGTCTTGAATCCGTTGTCATGTTTTCAGAATTTTTGAATTTTTAGGAAATTTTATCCAGATCCAGTCTAGTCTTTCATCCTATAAGAATGATATTGTTACCTGCCTTATTATGATCAGATGATCGGCCTGGACCAAATGACCATCGAAGAATCAAGGAACTGTCTCTTGAATTCAACAGGCCCATGAGGATGATTGGGCGAAGGTACATACGCTAAGATGATAGTACACTAAGACATATTAAAAACCGAATAGGTACAATCCGAGACGATAAATCATCCAAAACGTTGCTCCTATTCGCCTTCTCACACCACCGCATTGTTCCGGAAGGCTGGGATGTACACACAGGTGCCAGCAGATTTGGATATGGGAGGACGAAATCAGTTATTGGCGCTGGGTTGAGAAAACGTATTATTATGATATTGTTTTCTCAAGAGGGGTGTAAATGTGGTCCTTAACTCTTAAGCATATACACGAAGGACAGAAAACAAGCAAATGAGTGTATAGCCCATCCAGATTTCATGGTGCAGACTCAATACCAGAACCATAGATACGATATATAGCACAAATGGCGAAAAATGGTTCATGAGCTGAACATATCGCAATATTCCATTCGGCAAATATTGAAAAATGAGCTCGGGGTAAAGCCCTTGAAGTTAAAAAAACTGCAAGAACTTACACCGCAACAGAAAGAAAATAGACTCAAAAGAGCTAAAGAGTTGCTTCGCCGAATGTGGTGAACTGTCGAATTTGTTTTTCTCCGATGAGAAAACATTCGTTTTCCAGCAGCTTGTAAACAAACAAAATTATCGTGTTTACTCGCCAAAGAGGTCAACTGAAAAGGTGACCGCCAGATTGGCCACCAGAACTCAAGGGCCGGCCATGGTGATGGTGTGGGCCGCCATAACAGCCGATGGTCGCCCTCCACTCGTATTAATCGACCGTGGCATCATAATAAATGCCGAATATTATCGCGTAAATATTCTGGAGGGTGTATGAAAGCCTTGGGCACGGAAACATTGTGGCCGCAGAACGTGGACATTCCAACAGAACCATCGCACTCAGCACGCGCCACCCAGGAATGGTTACAAAATAAGATTCCTCGCTTCATTTCCAGCGCACAATGGCCACCAAAATCTCCAAATACCAATCCGTTGGACTATTGTGTCTGGAGTATTTTGAAAAGCAAGGTTGGCACTAAAAAATACCAAAGTGTCGATCACCTGAAACATGCGCTTCGCCGGGAATGGACCAAAATACAGCAGAGTAACATTCGGGCAGCGTGTGACGACTTCATTAGCCGTTTAAAGGCAATAATTCGTCCCAAAGGTGATCAATTCGAAAAAATCTAAATTTATTCTAAACGTTGATGCTATTTCCGAAATTTTTTGCTTTCATTCAATAAAATTTAAAAAAATATATAAAAATTATGGCGTTTTACGTTGTTGCAGTTTTCTTATCTCACCCTGTATGTATAAATATTTGTAAACGCTGATTTTTCCCCTCTCCTGACGTTTATGCCTTTCTTACTAATGAGTATCAATTTCGACTATGAAACATTGTCCGTTAAAACATTCGTTCGCAAAATAAAAACAAATTGATTGAAATATACAATTTAAGGAATGTGCCAATATTGTTGCCTTCAATATGGTAAGATACACCACACCCAAGTTCAATGGCATTTATTACAGGTAGTCTCTACAAATGCATTCATATATATTTCGATAATCAATGTACAAACTATTGGAGTTTCAAATGGAACAAGAAATTGCTTATACGCACAAAATCCCATAATACATTAAATTCCAGCAATGTACCACAATGAATGAATGTTATGACCAGCCAAAAATCGTAGACAGCCAACCAATAAAACGACACTTGTAACGACCATAAATGCCATCTGGATAATTAACTGCATTAATAATTTAAAAATCACACACAATCAACCAATAAGAAAATCTTCTTTGGAGTCAGGAAAAAACTTTCTTTTTTCATATTTGGAAAAATCAGGCGTTGATATTTGAGACAAGTTTTCCTGCAATGAATGGTATTAATTAAAAGTATGAGAAACCAGCTAAAGTGGGGACAACGCCACTGGAAGGCTCATAAAACAAAAACCAGACAATGAAAAAATGCAAGTCTACTACGCAATATCTTTAGGCCTGAAAAGGAAAATCAATACTTGTAGGTCGTCGCATGCGGTAGTTTTGGTGGAAAACCACCACCACCACTATCACATACACTACCATAAAAGAAAAGCAAAGGGTGCCAAGACAAAATTGTTGCCATAGACCACCACCAACACCGCCTTACCAACAAGACGGCTGCAATTATAGCAACAATAAAGAAGTATGTTATTTGAGCCATCTTCGAGTGGAACCTAAGATAAAAAAAAAACAAACAAAAATCTATGGAGAGAAAGAGCAAAATAACAATAAACCACAAAAATGTTTTACTTCAACTACTTGGCTGGATTAAATGTTTTAATTACCAACTATAAATGGTGTTTAAACATGAATTAACATTTTTGTTTGTATGCCACTGCAAAATGTGTTTTATGGTCACAAAAAGAAATAACGGTAATGCTCCAAACCAAATCGGGTAGGTATACATATATTCGTTGCTGACGACGACGACGACGACCAACAATAAAGAAGTTTGCAAACGACGACAACAAATGCCCCCCAAACAATTTTGATGGGGAGAGGCCATAAAAGGCGTGGTGTCGGCCAATAGAAATAAAATCAAATGCCAATCTATAATTGTATCATAGGTGTTGACCGGAAAAATCCATAATTTTCACAATACACCCCCCGACGCCCCACTGTTACAATGTCAATGAGCCGTAAAAGAGATTTACACCTAAATATGGAGAAGCTTTTTGAACTGAAGTTCACACAGAAAAGGAAAACATACCTTTGGTAACTAGTTGATATTCACTGGAAACAAGCTGGGATGCAATTTGAAGATTTTTCCTTCGTTTTTTTTTTTTTTCAATATTTTCTTCTCTGACACAGAATTGTAACACTTTTTTTATACCACACTTAGTTCTTAAGGGGGGATGTTTTCTCTTCTATTATTCCTTCGAAATTTCACCTTTAGTTATACACAACACAATATGATGTGCTATTAACACAGTTTTTTTTTTTTTTTTTTTTTCAACAGTTAGAAATAAACCCAGATTTGTAAAGGTAATGAATTTCAATGAACTATTTTTTCACAATTTTTCTAATTGTAATTTTTTCCACCTAGCTCGTAGTAGCTCGTTATCTCAATTGAAACGTACTATACACATTCGCTTCCGCCGCAAGACTGATTCGAATGACTGATGTGCTGCGATGGTATACTCTTGTTGCGGAACCCCAATGCGCTAACAGCCAACAAACAATCAACTCGGCGGATAGAGATACCAAAGTACTGGCCATCATCATCATCATAACGTTGGAAACCTTTTCTCAGTGAAAAACATAAAAACATGTATCTACGAACGACTGAATTCACACAGATAAACGTACATACAATATTTGTTGACATTTTGCAGATACTCACTCACATTCGCATGAGAAACAGGAAATTCTCTCCTCGTTGAGAGTATTTCTCTTATAGGAATTTTCAAAACTCTTATTAGATTCTCTTTAAAGAGCGGCATTGCCAGGCAGAAAAAAACAAAGTATAAAGGTGACCATCATCACCACATTTATTGCTTCTATTGCATATGTCTTAATTGTTTTTCCAAGATGAAAAGTATTATTTTCAAGCCAAACTAAATTCTTGTTTTTTATTTAAAATCTAAAAACGATAAAGTATTTTGACAGCAAAGTTGATTGTCAATTGGGCTTTTTGGGTTATCATGGGCTTTCTCTGTAGCCATGATACAATAAAATCAAAGTACCATATGATTTTATTTTTTTTTTGTTTATGTGTGTGTATTTTTTTTTTTTTTTCAATAATAAAAAAAATTGTTCAGAAAATATTCAAATTTTGGTGTTCTCAAATTGCTTATTCCAACGATTAAATCTTCGGTTTTTTTTAGCGAAATAAACCCTTAAAGATATGTATAACAGGATTCTTTTTTTATTTAAAATCTAAAAACGATAACGTATTTTGACAGCAAAGTTGATTGTCAATTGGGCTTTTTGGGTTATCATGGGCTTTCTCTGTAGCCATGGTACAATAAAATCAAAGTACCATATGATTTTATTTATTTTTTTTTTTTTGTTTATGTGTGTGTACTTTTTTTTTAATAATAAAAAAAAATTGTTCAGAAAATATTCAAATTTTGGTGTTCTCAAAATGCTTATTCCAACGTTTAAATCTTCGGTTTTTTAGCGAAATAAACCCTTAAAGATATGTATAACTGGATTTGGAAAAGAAAATTTGACCTTTCATTCAGTTTTTGCGTTATTTTTGTCAAACTTAGATCGGGTTCGGAGATGGGCAATATCGGTCCACTCCTTCTGGTACCTCCCCAACAAAAAAAAACTAAATTTTCAAAAAAAAAATATTTTCTACACAGAAAGAGAAACAATAATCCTAATTTGCTCCAACTTTGCAAATCCTAATATTTGCGTCAGTGCTAGATAAGGTGCGAAAATGGACAATACCGGCCCACTCCTTCTAAATTATAAATAATTACAACTCTTATAAAAAGTGATATAAGAGTTCGACAATCTTCACATTTCACACATCCCAATATTTTTTATAAACTCAAAGACTGGTGTGAAGATAGGATATATCGATACACTCCTTCTTGTACCTCCCCCAAATAGGGTCAACATTTTTATTATCCATGGATCTCATAAAAAGCATTCAGACTTGGTACATTTCAATATTACCATCAACACAAGATATCTTATAAAGATGATAGAGATCGGACCTTTTCTTCTGGTACCTCCTTTACAAAGGGTCAAAGTTTTGAATAACCAAAACGACCATAAAACTCAAAATAAGCATTCGATTCTCTTCAAATTTCACACATCCCATTATTTCTACTAACATAAGATCTAAGATCACAAAACGCTCAAAGAAAGCGAAATAAGCATACAACTCTCTTTAAATGTCACACTACAAACATTTTTGCTACCGCAAAATCTGTTGTGAAGATGATATATATCTGCGAAACCCTTCTGGTAACTATAATCACACAACATCCACAAAGGGTCGAAATTTCCAGTACTTATATCTGTCATAACATGCGAAACAAGTCGGTGATTCTATACAAATTGCTTTATCTAAATATTTCTCTTAACGCAAATCTGATATTATATGTTATTTATCGGATTTATGATTTCGTATAAAATTAGATATGAGTGTCAGATTTCCTTCGACATATCAGTACTTTTATCTGTATTAGAAAAATTGAATACTTCGCTCCGCTATATCCGGCCACCCGCATATTTCCACATTTTTCAAAAATTTGCACATCTCTAATATAAAGTATAGGAAGAAGTCGATATAGTCCAAAACTGGCACGTTGTAATATTTATATGAGTCTTAGGTAAGATACGAATTGGCCAATATTGGCCAACTGTTTCGGAACCTTCCCCATAAAGGGTCAACAGTTTGAATAATCATAACTCAAGGCTGGGAGTATAAATCTGTCGGCAAAACGAACTTACACTTTTTTACTTGTTTTCTGGCCTATTTGAAATTTAAAAGTTCAAAGAAGTTATATTTGATTTAGGCTAAAAAATATTCAGTTTACTCTAAAAGTGATCTTCAAAGGCAATCAGTTTAAAATTTAGTTTTTTTTTTTGTGAATATTTCCATAACCATTACATTTTTTAAAATTTTTGAATACTTCTCAATAAATACCAAAAAAAGTTTTGCTTTAAAAATGATTTGCTAGTAAAATTTGGGTCGAACTTGGATGGTTTGTGGTGTTTAATTCGCATATGTTAATCACAATAACTTGGAAATATATTCTACTTTCCAAAGAACAGTCCTGAAACAAACAGTAAGTTTACCTCAATAATACACAGGAAAATTAAACTTTTCGACAGTTTGTCATTGACAGAAAAAAAGGCTACAAAAACAAAAATAGGAAGAAATAAAGTTACACTCTTTGGTATGTTCCAGAACTGCAAATATGTAAAATTTGTTCCCTTTTATGATATAGTAGATTCTTTCAGGTACTGGAACAGATCACCTACGTAGTTTCAGACAACGAACTGTCCAATCATTTTTAGAATTCAAAAATTTTAATGAAAAATAATTGTAGAATTAAGAATGTAACGTCTTGCAATCTTTGGTCTGGAACATACCATACTGCAAGAATGTAAAAGTTTTTACTACGGAAACTTATGATCACGTGACATTACCTTCTTAATTTTACCATGATCTGTACCAGAACCTGCAAGACTTGTTTTACAAATTTTTTTATACCAGAAAGAGAAAATCGGTTATATATGTTTTACATTCTTGCAGTTCTGGGACAGAGCATATATATTCTGAGATGGGAACCCGTTTTCAATTAATGTTTGTTCCACAACTGCAAAAGTTTTTACTACGATAACCGATTTTTAATTTATGTCTTTGCCAAAAGGCAATGTTTATTTACATTTCTAAAGGATACAATGGAAAATATACTGGACCCTCGACAAAAAGGCAAATGTTCGGTGAAAATCTCTTTACAGGAGATGGAATGATGAATTGGGTAATATATGTAAATTCCAGCTTTACATTGGCAGCCTTTCTTGAAAAAAAAGTTCAACAACACGAAGTTGAAATGTTGAATTGGCAAAATGTTAAAAACCAGAATAATAAATTCAAACATTGGAGCATGGAGGAGTACTCTTCTTCTTGCGATTAACAAGACCTCTGTGTGCCTCGACAAATTAAAACCCAAATTAAAGGCATCTACGGATGACATTGCAGTGCTATTTGCGAGGAATTTTCATGGTTTTGCATAAACCTTTGCTAAATGGTGCTAGGAAGCAACTACTTTCAATTTGTCCACTATGTGCAGCGAACGGAGTACCATAAGAACTCTCCTTGGAAGTCAAATACCTTTGTGAGATTCTTGAAAAGTGAAACAGATAGAAAATGAATATCAAAGTGCAAACAAAAAAGGATTTATGACACAACTCAAGCCGACTTAAGTTTGACTATTCTTTCTCAATTAATCTGACGAAGTTGGCGATTTTCAACAGCTACATCTATCAAAATATAATGGAAGAAATTGGTTATTTCCTAATTTTCTTAATTCTTATATGTAATTATACCTTGCTAAGAAGCCTAGACTAAAGGTTAATCGCCTGTTCTAACATGGAAGATAACACTGAACATTTATCCATAAAAAACCAACTTGCACTCAATGACAATTGGAGCGTTATTCAGGCGGAGATTCTAACCATGCACCACAATTTAGTAGGGGGAAACTAAAAGAGATAAAAGAATAGTCTGTTCCAGAACTACAAGAATGCAAAAGTTTTTACCACGATAACCGAATTTCGAAAAATTGGAATACTACTAGATTCTTGCAGGTTTTGGAACTGAGCCAAAAACTAAAGCAGTTGAAATTGTGCCACTGTTGCTCTGGGGCTCAATTCTTTTTCTATGAAAATATTTATAAGGGAGAAAAAGTACAAATTGAAAAATTTATGAAGAAAATAATTTTAATTTCATATTTTCATAGAACAAGAATTGGGTCGCTGTTTCTTTTGACAAGTAGATCATATTACCATTTACAAGTTTGTTGAATCACTTTGGCGGCTTAGAAATTCCTAAAATATGATACCTTCTTTCTCTTTTCATCTATACATCGTTGTTACTGCCATTCCTACAAAAGGATGTCCATACTAGAAAATAAAAAGGATCCATTTCTCACTGTTTTAAAATAATTTCGGCGCAAACAACAACAAATCTTCCGCTAAACGTCAACCCTATTGCAAATTGTACAAAAACATATAGACACTCTTTACGTGCTATCAAAATTGAGATAAAATTGCAAATTATTCACTTTAATCGTAATAGTATAATCGAATTAAATGAGAAAAATATTAAAAATTGTCACATGCACGTTTTGCTCTTACTATAAATATTATCCAAAATGTTGTTGCATTTCCTTCGAAGGGTGTTATTAAAAATGTAAATATGTAACCGAAAACCAAAAATATATTCCAAAATAAACACTTCATTATTACCTTATTTGGAACAGTTTGAAGCGGACACTGACAACGTGAAGGTACTGCAAGGGATGCGGCTAAATTATAACTAAGAACAGCACAGTTCTTTAAGAGTCCTTGACGTCCTTCAATCTAAAACTTTGGGAGTATTTTTGGGGGCGGCTAATGTCTGTCTTTTTACTCCTAATAATCCAAATCCAATTAGAAGGGATATTCGCAATGTGTTTAGAACTACGGAGATGATAAATTAGCGATAACAATATATATCGATTAATATTTATTAGTAATGCCATGTTCCCATTATCATACGAACAGCGCTGTTCTCACTCAGAATTACCATGATACAGTAAAGAGGTATTGCAGAATAAAATTGAATACTTACAAGAAATTGAACATGTCTGTCGTTAACCGATTTTCTCTTTATTGTTCTGTTCAATAATCTGCAAGAATCTACAAGTATTGTATTTTTTTCGATTTCATAAAGAGATAAAGAGAAAATCGGATTATCGTAGCAATAGTTTTACATACTTGTAGTTCTAGAACAGATATGATATCGAAAAAATAGCATAGCTAGTAGATCCTTGCAGGTTCTGGAATAGAATACTAACAAAACACAAAATAATTTGAGATGTTGAGCTATGCAAATAAAAAATCAGAAACGATTGTATTCATGGCACAATTACAGAAGGTAGAACAAAGCTATATTTTTTTTCTTTTGGTGCCCTTATTTTATCAAAATATATACATATTTTGTGTATGTGTGTGCATTATTTTAAATAAAAAATAAAATAATTATGTGGCGTTTCCACTGCACTTGATTCGCTCTCTAGTCGTGGTTTGACCCTTAACTATGAAAAACTACCTAATTCTTCACACAAAATTTCCTGAGCGAACACTCATATTTGTACGTTGTTCATTCAAATCACTCTCAGAACAACGAAAAAATATGTCCCATCCCTAAACAAATGAGAGCATTTATCGAAAAAATAAATTATGACATTTAAAATTAAAAATAAAAAATTTGATGAAATTTTAAAAATTTTTGGGAAGACTGAAAATTATGTATGAAAACTACAATGTTGAATGGCGTATGTACATTCAAACGAAAGTAAATTTTGTTTTCTCTCTCATTCGAAGTACGCATTTGGCCCACGAGATGAAATTTCCACAGAAAACTGCAACAAAAGAGGCAATATTTTCAAAATGTTTCTATTGGCAGAAAAAATGTTTGACAAGTGGTCTCTCCAGTAGAATTTAAAAATGGAAAAACACAAAATATGTTCAAAATGTCAAGATTTACACAAAAAGTTGAAACGTGAATGAAATTATAAAATTATTGATATAATACATAGTTGGGGAGAAAAACAATCATTTCTTTTATTCATATTAGTGAGAATTTAATAAATTTAGTAAAAATTCCCATTAAATCAAGAAACAAAATTTTGAAAAAGGAATTATTTACTATGAATTACGAATCGTGCCGTAGGAACGGGTTAATTCGTGTACCTAATTCTGAGAGCGAACAACGTTGTTCGGTTTCCAATGGAAACATACTATTAGAAATTAATCAAATTTGATTGCAAAATAAATGTATATTTTCGATGTTAATGGGCAACACATTGTACAATATTGGAATCATGACAGAAGAATACAGGTAGATGCATCAACGCTTGGGAGCATTGATATGTCAAAAAAATTTAAATGGGTTTTTCAAATATAAGTAGATTTTTATATACTTCTTATACTACTCATTCGGAGGCTATTATAATTCCCGTATTTCAACAATTTTTACAAATTTAAATAATTTTTCATTCAACATTTTCAATTCCAAGATTGGTTTGACAGTTCATTGTCCAAGCAGTTGTGTCGACGCGTCTACCTATATTCTTCTACCATGATTGGAATAAAACTGGATTATCCTACTAGATTCAATCTTGTGGAAAACCCCAAAATTCCATTCCTGTTTCGCGGGCTTTCCCTTAAAATAAGAATTTTGTTAAAAAATGAAAAATGAACAAAACCAACTGTTGCATATTTAAAAGTCTATTTAACACTATAAGATTCGAGCACAGAGTTGCATTTTTCTAGCTTAGGACGGTATTCCATCTCTAGATAATACAAAGACATACTTATTATACAGTGTAGTAGAAACTCAATCTAGTTTAGTTTTCTTAGCTGCACTAGTTCGTGAATCCAGTCCATAGTTCATTATCATCTTTCGCCGAGTATAAATTTGAACCGTTCACAAATGCCCTGTTCCATAAAACCTTTATTTAGGAAGAATTGCAAGAATGTAAAAATGTAGAAGAGCACAACAAAATGTCACAGAGCACTAATCTGAAACAGAAAACCAAATTATTAGCTTGTGAGACTTGCTTATGGAATGGTTGAATTTTGCTTCCAAGTCTAGTTTTGCTGCAAACATGTAGAGAAAATTGTCAGCGTATGTTTTCGCATTAGTACAGAATCTTTATAGTAAATATAATGAAGATTTGGTCATATATTCGGCATATTTTTCAGATTTTTTGATTCCTAAAAACTGGCAATAACTTTCAACGTAGGGCGTAGGAATCATCTGAAGACAACTTTTCTTGTAATGTCAAATGTCTGGCCTTGAAATGTCAAAACATATACAAAGATTTGATACCAAGGTAGTGCAGATTGATTAAATGTGAAAAACACAACCCTGATGCTAGAGTCTTGTAACTTTAAATGTTCTATTAAGAAATTTTGTTAAATTTATTTGACATTTTTATTTAAAATAAGGATCGCGAAAAATCAATGGAACCTTACGGAACAAGTTATTAAATCTTTTTAATCAATACATTTGAAAATATAAGACTCCAACTTCAAAGTTGCCTTTTTCATATTTAATCATTCTTCCCTACTTTGTAATTATTTGCTCTGTTCCTGTATCTGCTAGAACCTACTAGTTTTGCAAGTTTTTTTCGATATCATAAAAAGAAAATCTTTTATCATAGTAAAAATTTTTACATTCTTCTGGAACAGAACAATTGTATCACGAGTCTGGTGTACACATATTTTTTACAAACGTATTATAAACTTTTTTAATTTTTCTTATCATTACACCTTATAAGTGAATGGAAAAGCTGAACTAGATTTGTAATCGTTTGTTTTATTCAGTCATTAAACTTAGTTCAGTAAACTAAATCGATTGACGGTCTTTTCATTAAATTCGTGAACTATGCAACTTTAACATTTATAACCAATTTTGTTCCGGGCAAATTTTAATAAAGCACACAAAAATAAATACCAAAAATAAATAAAACACACCTATTGCATTTAGAGCCCGATAACAGTAATCGATTCAATCGAAATCATTTCTCAAAGAAGCAATCGCCCCGTTGTCATCACCAAATTAAGTTTGTGAAAGAAATGCAGCAACACCCGTTTAAAAATACAAATTCCACATAAAATTCCAATAAATTTGGATAACAAACCATTAACAAATTAAGAGAATATCTAATAAAATTTCGCACGGGCAACAGTGAATAATAAATTACAATACTCATGTCAATAACCGTAAGTTTTCCATTGGAGAAAGAACGCCACAGAAAAACTAGACAACGAAATGAAAGAAAACGAAAAAAAAAAAACAAATTGACAAAGTGCGTGAGATAAAGAAACAAGTCAAGACATGAAAAACGAATGACGTATTGTGTGGAGTGGTGGAGGAGTTAACGAAGATAAGGAAATGATATTCCAATTCTATTATAGAACACGAATATTGCATGCAATTTCCATGTAAATTTCCTTCAACGTCTTGAATGCCGTCTACAGAGAAAATATTACGACGACGACACGGCACAGCAATGATGACCACACACAACGGCTAGTGGGCTGGTTGGCAGTCAGGTAGTAAGCAATAGCTGTTTAAAGTGTCAAGTTTAAGCAACCAGTCACAGCCAACAATGGCACTCATCCAGCCAGTTTTAATTGCCACTCAATTAGCAATACATTTGTGCAGCAATAATAATCGGTCGGCAATGATTAACTAATGTTTTTGATGTTTCGTTTTTGGCCAGAACAAGGTCAAGAGATCTATTTTAGTTAGCTTGCTGATATAAAGGGCGACAAACGGAGAATATACATATGTATGTAGGAGCCACTCGATTATGGGTATTATCATTCAGAAAGAAAAAACAACAAAGATTGATTGTTTGCGTTGTTGCTGCCCGTCATAAACTTTAATATTTAAAGTTTTATGAATCAAGCAAGCCAAAAAAACAGTCACCAACGTTCATACTTTCCATTTTCCATTATTGTTACTTTCTACACAAAACAAAAAGAGCTAACAGCAGAAGAAACCCTTCTTTATCCATTGTTGCCGCTGCTGCTGCTGCTGTTTTTTTCTGTGTTTGATTGAATGTTGATGAGCAAAACTTAAATTTATTGACAACTTCCTACTCTCTTTGGTCAGATCATTTGATACTCTCACGCTGAGCATCTGTCAAACATTGGTTTGTCAAAAGCAAATGAAACCTCAGTAATAATACCAATAATCAAACGAGGCCGGTATGGAAAGAATTTATTTGTTTTATAATGAAATCCATAGTTTTCGAGATGTGAGCCTGCTACATTTTCGAAAGTACCCTATGTTTTACTGTTGGCTTAGTCAGTGCGCATATTCTAGCGGAACCAAGGAAAGTAGTGGTGCCACCTGATAAAGACTTAATTTTTTAATATGATAACCGGATAATTAATTTTGAATGTCTTAAATTCCTAAGCTTAAACAGACCAACTACAAAAACGTTAAATTTTTAAATGGAGATATGTCGTACAAATATGGAGATATTTCCATAGGTATATTCCAAATTCCAATCCCAACACCGATCACATCCAAAAACTTATTTGTTTTAATAATAAATTGTATTGCATAGACAGTGTTGAAGTCTATCACATAGACGAAAGTTTTAAATTTCCGAACAAAAGCAGGTCATAGAACACAGATGAAAGGTTGAAATTAGAATAATAGGGATAGTGTGCACGATAACGTAATATTATGTACAAACTATCACTATAAGTTGTTCGAAAACACAAAGTCCAGTAAATGGGGGTGAATGCAATTTACATTAGTGAGTACCAAAAGTTTACGATTTCTTAGACCTAATGGGACTTAATTCTATTTTTCGGCTGCAAA